TGAGCAACGATATTTAGTGTCACCGGTGTTATAACATTAGTATTGATGACACCAAGCCTCCTTTGACAACCATAAAAACCAAACTCTTTTTGCTCAAATTCATTTTCAACCATATATTTTTACAATAAATTATTTTGTATTTAAATTAAATTTTTTTTTTTACTTTTTAACCACATATTCTTCAAAATTCGTTTTTTCCCAGAAAAAGAAAAAGAAAAAGAGCTCTTTTTAGTGATTGTCAAACAGGGATTAGATGTCATTAAATTTATGTAGAATTAAAATGAGTCACTTCTTCGCTACTACCTAAGACGGTGTTGTAGCACCAGTGGTGTTACATATCATTATTATTGTAAAATAGGGTTTTGTTAACCAAAATTCATTTTTTAAATAAAAAATAATATTGTAACTATATATATAAAATTCTTGTTGAACTTTTTAACAACTCAAAATTTCCTTATTTCATTAATATTCTTTTATTTTGCTGAAATTTTCTTATGAAATTTGAATCGTGTAATTATGAAAAAAGGTTTTAATTGACGGATAATTTATGCAACTCTTGTTTGTAGCATTAAGAAAATTCATCTTGAACGTCTTTCTAAAGCATCACGACTTAGAACTCCAATGATGAATTACAATACTAACCCCCTGTTTGGGGCACATTTTTCAAATGGATGGCAATTCGAACGATCAAAATCGAAAATCGCAGTTAACCAAACTAAATGGGGCGAAAAAAATCGAACCATCGCATAATGGGGTGGATATGATATTTGATTTTAATACCCCAGTTCGAGGCGGGATGGATATGATATTTATATCATCGTCTCGCCCCAAACTGACTGCCCTTTAAAAAAAATTAATTGGGTAATTGGGCTTTCCATTTTTCTTTCTATAATTCTGTCCAACCCAAAATTCTGGCTCATTACCAATCCGCTAAGTCCAACTAACATAACCTAATAACCTTACACCTTACTACATAAATATTAAACATATATGGTAATTGGAATCAACTTATTCAACACAACACATATCTAAATCATCGCCTTTCCGCAGATGTACGATGACCACCATCGCTTTTAGCCACTATGACGAGCACTAACGCCTCCACTAGCAATAGCCATCCCCAAATCATTCGTTTCTGTCACTCCGAGATGAAAACAGAGACAGACTTGAATCCTTCACAGTGAACCTCCAAATTTTGCTGTGCAGTTACCAGCTTCACCCATTGCTATGCCTCAATTTACCGCTTCTTTAGCCGCTCGCCATCTGTTTGTCATTGCTATACTTATCCAAAAGAATGAAGATTGAATATGAATTAAGGTTGAAGCTTTTGAGTAGAAATCAAGTTCAATGTTCAAGAATTAAGGGACAATGATATTGTTTAATATTGTTATGTTGAAAATATTGTTTGTTAAATTTGAATTTTGTATTTGGAAATTGGGATATTGTTTGCTAAATTGGCTTAGTACTGTGTTTTTATTTTCATTGACTTTTTTTTTCCATAAATTATTTTTTCCAATTTGACGGCTAGACCTATAAAAATAATTTTATTTCATGATTATTAACAACTCGAATCGAGACGTGAACGATCTGAACCATAGCAACTTACATGGTTATGGTGCGGTTATAGTATGACCAAAAAATTGGTGGTTCGATGATGATTTTGACCGACCTTGAACTGAACCATCGCCAACCCTAATTTTCCATTTCACTAAAATGAACATATTTCATTAATTTTTATCTAAATCAACTAAAAATTTGATTTTTAACCGAACCAAACTAGAGCTTAAGATTTGAGTTTAAAGAGCAATGCTATAGGTAAATTTTTTATTTTTTGTTTTTGTTTTTTTATAGATTTTGTACAAACAGACAGCTATCTTCTTATAATAGACCGTTGTTAAAAACAGTTTTTGATAACAACAAATCACAGAAAGACAATTTTCTTCTTGTACCAATTCTGATAAAAAAGTCATGTACTTGCATATTAATTCGAGTTTAAATTTGAGGAGCATACATGTGAAGAAGTCCACATCAGCCTCGAAATCATACTTTTCCAAGTAGAAATTGTTACTATATATGGTAAACAAGATCTTTTGTTACTTTGAATTGGACGTTAAGAAGATCTGGAAGAAGCCAATGGAGGATAAAAATCAAAAGATTAAATTAATGAAGGTGCTTACAAAAATTATAGCCCAACCTCGAACTTTCAAGCATGACCCGGGGTCAATACCTCGACCACTCTCGTCTTCAAATATCCTCTAAAAAGTGGTTGGGCCTAATAATCTGGCCCCGCTAAGGTCAGGCCCACATGCCAAAATGTTGTCCTCATCTCGAGCGTTTTACTTGTTTTAGTCCTCTTATAACTCAATTGCTCTATCTGATGAGGATAAGGACTCTAAATGGTTGAATCCTTCTACAACTCAACCACCTACGTCTATAAATATAAGACCTAGCCCCATTATTCAGGTACGTTTTCACAATACAATTTTGGTACATACTTTCATATAAATTTTCTGTCTGACTTAAGCATCGGAGGGGCGACGAGCAAACAACTCGTTGCCTTTGTTTCAGGTATTGGAAGGCCCTGTTCGTGCTCGTTCTCGACCCTCAATCTCGAAAAATGAACAGGTACAATTTTTAGCATCATCACTACCATTGGACCATTGTGACTTCTTCACGAGAAAGGGTAACACACTTGAAGTACTGTGGAAGAGGCCGGGTGGGAAAATTGTTCAATATATGGATAAGGAGATTCAAATTCAATTGCTATTTGTGTTCGGCTCCTTTCTCGATCAAGACTGATCCCGGCGAGGATTGCACTGTTAAGTCTGGTGCAATATCGATCCCAAAAAAAAAAAATGTGAAGCCTCATTGCTTTCCGTTGGGAATCCGGGATAGTTTTTAGTAACATTTTTTTGGCAAATTGGATGATTTATGTAATGTGGGACTAATTAGATCATCTAACATTCTATTGCTTTTTCTGTTTTTTGGTTAAGAATTATCAAGAATGTCTAGTAAGATATTAAACCTATCAAGCAAAAGCAGCCAAAAAATAAAAATAAAGAAATATCATTTATGAGGTTGCAACTTTGGCATATAACAGTAGAACACTATTAATGGATAAATCTCATGTAGCTTAAATATTAAAGCATTAATCAATTTGTAAGAATTTGAGCTACCCCTTTTAAAAAAGTTAATATTTCAAGGTGAAATTCAAAGTTATAATACGACGGGATAAAGAAACCGTCAAACTGTAAAATCGAACCGAAACCACATTTTTGGAATTATTGGTTTCGGTCCATATGGATCTGTCAACATTTTGATTTTAAATTGAACCGAACTGCTTAGAAGTTTTCTATGTTTCAATTTTTTTAAATAGTTTCAAACCGTCAAACCGTTTTCAACAAATTTGAAAATAAAATAATTTAATTTTATCCAACCAATTAAAACTAAACACATACCAGTTAAAAAGATAAAACCATATTATAATCTAATTAAACTGAATACATAAATAGGCAATTATTTATCCCATTAAATTAATTACATCACACCTAGACATCCATCGGTCATCACAACTGTGAATACAAAACCTTCAAATTATGTAAAGGGTTGAAAAAAATGCTGATGAGCCATATTCATCAACTTTTAGGTCAGTTTATCCAAATTTTCTTATTTTTTAATAATTGTTTGTTATATTTTACTGATACTTGAATTGTTTTGTTTTAATTTGTGTCGGGTTTCCTTGATTTTTAACGGACAATATTTTTTATTTATTTACATCCCAATTTCCTGATTAGATCATTACATTAATTATTTATTTTTAACTTATTTTTTAGATTTTACTGTTAATTGCTAGAAAGATTGTCCCCCAATTTGTTAAATATGTGTTAACTATTCAAATATTTACAATTATTTCCAAGTTTGCATTCTCTGCTAGTGTTTCAATTATTGATTTGTTTAGAAGTTCGTCAAGTGTATATATGATTGATGCGACGATTAGTCATAAAAATTGGTTGTACGGTAACAACAAATATACAGCGACTTATCAATATTTGGATGAAGTAGAAACATTCAACGATTCACAAAATGTTATAGAAAATATTATCGTATTTGATATTTCTATTCATTTTTCTTTTATTAGTTGTTTCTTTTATATAACTTTGATTTGTAATATTTTGTAATAATACTGATTATATTTTAAAGTGAAATTTTAAACTAATATTTATGATTCAATTCATTCGATGTATATATAATTTTTTGATAAACCATGATTTGAAACAGAATCAAATCGAAAAAAGTGATTTGGAATGGTTCGATCTTAAAAGTTTTCGGTATGGAAATTTGTTACGTAACCCCCAAACAGAACCATGTTCGTCTCTAAGTCATAATATGATATTAGGGAGTATTAATTTTAAAAGAACAAGTGACTTCACTGAGACTGAAATGAGTAAATGATTTTCAAAATTGGCGTTGTCAAATCGATTAACTTTCCTCCAATATCATACCATTTGTTGCCTCCTTCAAAGCATTTTGCAACACCTAAATCATTCTCACTACGCCATACGCTACATTTTCACATGGTAACATCATGCATCTTAAAAGCCAACTTGCCTCGTACTTAAAATTCTTGATCCATCTAAAGACTTAAAAGGATATTTCTCTTGTAGCTGGTACGCATGAGAAACCTCGACGAAATCTAGAAAGAAGTCCACGTGTAATTTTAACAAAATTTACGGTTTTCACCCAATTGGAGACCCACAAGCCTATTTTATAACTAAAAAGATAAAATGGGAGCTAAATTGCTTTATGTTTTAAAGAACAAGGACTTCATCTGCAAATTCCACTTGTATATAATTATTGACGCCAGGAGAGAATGAAGTAAAATAGAAAATATAGGGAGAAAAAAGAAAAAAGGGTAGCTAACGCGGTGCAGACATTCCGAAGGTAGATCCGTGTCCATTTGTCGGATACTCATAGCAAAATCCTCTCCTTCCAAGATACAAGTACGTATTCATTTGATTTTCAGCTGCAAAAGGGCTCAAACAAAGATGATGTCCGGCAATTACACTTCCATTGACAATCAAAGTGTCACCGGATCTGTTCCCGTAATCACATAATCTCACTCACTTTTTTTTTTCCTTTTTATAAATCTGTTTATAATTATGTAATCTGTTTTTGTTTTTCATTGTTGTAGGCAGTCGCAGATCCACCTGGCCACGTTTCTGTCAAATTTACAGGTGTTATTTGCTCTTATGTTAGTTCAATTTATTGTTTATATCTTTTCTTTTCTTTTTTTTTGTTTCTTTGAAAATTGTTACAATGATTATTATGTTGAGATTCAGATTGTCAGTAAACTAATTGTATTGGATGTTGCAGAGTCGAATCTGCAGACATTTCCACCTTTAGGTCCTCAAGGAAAGATCTCTGGT